GAATGTTTGGGGAATCTAGAAAGCATCGATATATTACTGTGCTCTTATCCATATTGCTGTAATACGCCAAATGATTACATACTTTTGAGGGAGGCGTAGTAACTTCAAGTTTGGAAACCACTGCATTAAGTTACGTAATCAGTGTAGACAATATCTGATGCAGTGTTTCACACATCCTATGCAACCAATGATACAAATACCTGCAAAAGTTTAGAGCGCATTCCGACAGATGTGACTTTAAATAAATCAATTGACGTTCAAAAATTAAATTTAAAAAAAATAACGCTCACATTTTATTGATTTCCTTGAAAACTATCATAGGACGTTAAATATTTGTACAAATGTAACCAAACCTACTAAATTACGTAATCAGTGTAGACAATATCTGGTGCAGTATTTCACACATCCTATGCAACCGATGATACATGTACTTGCGAAACTTTAAAGCGCATTCCGACAGATGTCGCTTTAAATAAGTCAATTCACGTTCAAAAATTAAATTTAAAAAAAAAATAACGCTCACATTTTAATGATTTCCTCGAAAACTATCATACATAGAATAGATCCGAAAAATGTATATTAAAGTTGAATAATTGACGAATCCAATGAGCCTAAACACATTGCTGTGATTGTATCGGTTTAATTGTAATTCACGTTCAAACGTGAAACTTGCGTAACATGATTTGAATGAACCTTGAAACACGTTACTCTCTGCTCTACGCGAAGCAAAGATGTGTCACACAGTTCCAACTATTATTTTATTATCGTTTTTACTAAAAACGATTAAGTGTAATTTGCAAAATTTAATTGCATAATTAAACGAGTCGGAATTGCCTTTGTGACTATCCTCAGTTTGAGAAAAACCAGGAAATTTGCTTAGAAAACAAAAAAAAAAACATAATGTGCAAGGTCGTTGCACAATGCTGCTACCAATTAGATGATGATGATAGAAAAAAAGAAAAGAAAGAAGAATAACGTTAAAACAAACGAGAAATGCAGTTGTTGTCGTGCGAGTCTTTTGTTTATAATTAAATAAAGGAGACAATGGATGGTCGAGTCATATCCTTCAACTGTTTTTATTAATTAATAAATAACGCTCATTTTTTTTGTTTTATAAACATTTTCGAGAAATAACAAATTTTAAATTATTATTATTACATTTTATTATGATTATCGTTTTCAGGACTTGTAGCCAATCGCCAATCAAATTATGAAGGAGTACCACAGGTTTCTGTACTAGGTCCTATTAGTTGATTTTCTTGAAAATATTGAAAATGATGATTTATTTCAGTTGTAGTGTAGATCTTTGAAAATAGGTAGATGTTCATAAAAATTAGTGAAAGTGTAATCTTTTCAGCATGAAATGTAAACTGAATTGATGATTGGGGTTGATGTAAATGGGGGACAGCCATGAAACGACGCGTCGTTCGTTCGTTTGTTTACGTTTTGCATTCCAACCAAGGCCGTTCCGGGGTCCCAGCCAACTCCATCCGATCAATAGGTGTAGAACTGTAAGTGCCATAGATGGTGCTGCCGTGCATTCAACACGCACTCAAACTAGGTAGTGAACAACCATCCATGTAGTAAGCGCGCTACTGGTAGTTAGGTAGCCAGAGTAGTGCATAAGAAAAGGAGAGCGATATGCGTGACGTTTGCGTTGGACAGAGAGGTAGAGATGACTACTGACTGTTGCGACGAGTCCTTTACTTCCTGATAAGATTCCAGCAGTAAGCGGGGAACAACCGCGCGACGCGAACGCACACGTCCCGACGCCTCATGATATCATCACCATAGCAACCATCATCAATTTAGACTACAAGAACACTCATCCAATTGGACCACACAAATTCAGGATATATCTTCATCAACTATTCACACAAAAGTAAGTCAACATTTCAAATTTTAGCAAATCAACAAAAATTATCTCTAAATTTATTTAAATTATTAATTATAAAAACCTTAATTGCTTCATTACAAATGCAAATTCGGATCATAATTGCATCTGTTTCCATTCCAAAGATAACCCGACACTTTTCACCCATTGCTGCGAGAACAATTGAACAGTTGTTGTTGTTATTGTTGTTGACGTTGTCTGCATCTTCTCGTTTGTCTCAAATGAAGAAAAAACAAAAGTAAAAAAAAAGAAGCAGCGCGAAACAAAAGTGTGCATGTTTCCGAAATGTAAACAACGACCGCGAAACAATCGAACGTAATCTCCGCTTTTGTTTACACGTTCGTCGCAATTACGCTTTCGTTGATCGTTTAGAGATTCAATATTAAATAAATGTTTTGCCTTGAATATTTCATTTTTTTTGTTATAAAAATTTAAAAAAAAAAGTTGTACATATAATTAATTTTTCTTTTCTTTGTAAAGAGAGGATGTTGCGAATTGTTCGAAACGAATTGCAAATTTTATTTAATGAAAAGTTAAATAAACAACTGCAATTTTAACAATTACCGAGAAAACAAATGTTGTTTTTTTTGGTGAAATAATTGCAGTCGAATAACAAATGAGTAATCGATATTTGAGGGAGGAGGAGAAACAAGAGTCAAACTTATCGACGAACAAATGCAACCCGATGATTGATTGTTTCCTTGGCGACGATCGATTGCGTAAAGTGTTGTGACATCGTGTGCCATTGACATTTCATTAGTTTCAACTCGTTTTTTGTTAGTTTAAACGAAATATTCAGTTTACATTATTTCCATAAAATTTGCTTATTTCTTTTATGAGTAATTCCATAATTTCATTCAAATTTAATTTAAGTATTAATCGAAAAATAGTTGGAAAAACTGAAGGCATCATCATTGGCAGCATTTTTTTTTTTATTATTGTTGTTAAGGAAACAACTGAAATTTATTACACCATAGAAATGAGTTCGTCTTTTGTTTGCCGTTGAAACGTGCGGATTTATCGCAGTTGGCGACAGATTGCGTGGGTGGTGACGTTTAGGGTTGCTTGATTTTATTTTTTTTTAATTTTTTATTTGGAGGTCAGGGAGGAAAGCTGCGGAGGGTTCGTCGACTCCACTCACTGACTCACTTCCAACATTTCCTCGCCTCACTTGATTTTCCTTACTTTTTTTGCTTCAAGTAGACCTTTTCCCTCTTTTGTTTCTTCTTTCGATTGTTTCGAGTTGGTTGGATGTAGTGGATGCTTTTTGGAAAGATCGATGCAATTACCGTGCTCGTTCGCGGATGAAAATAGGAAACCGGAAACCGGAAACCGGAAAAGAACCGAAGGGCGCGCATTCTGCAATTAGCTTCCTCTCTCTCTCTCTCTCTCTGTGGGACACACGCAAAGGAATCAAGAGTGCAACGACCGCGACAATACGCATAGATTGCTGCGAACAAAATAAATGAACATTAGCATCCGCCATGTACGACGTGATGATCATTATGAATACGTTACGTAAGGTGTCGTTACGTATCGATTTCGTTTTGTTTCGTTTACTTTTTGTTTCCATGGCTAACTTATAATATCCAAACTTGACCTATGACATTTTCAAATTGTTTTTCATTTTTTCATTCAGATGAACGGGGAGACGACGGAAGTTGCAGGTGGTGGAGGTGATGCAGGTATAGGAAAGACGTCTTCTTCTACTTCTTCAGGCGTCGTTTTCGAGGCTTCCACTCAGACACCGACGCAGGAAAAGTGCGGATCTCCGTTCTTCACGCAAGACGGATACTCGCTAAAAACTCCGAACCATAGCGCTTTCGCGCTCAGCAGCATCCACAGGATGCGAAGGAATGATCAGGTAACAATCACCAACTATAATATAACAGTTAGAATTATTTAACATTTAGATTAATTTGATCATTGTTGGTTTTGTCCGTAATTTCTCATCATTTTTGACAACATTTTACTAATAATTAGTAAACGACAAAACAAAAATCTATTAGAATATTGTATTCTCTAAATATTCGACTTCAATTTGAGCATTCGTTTTTTAAAATCGGTTTGATGATGATCGAGAAATGGTTGAAAAACTGAAGACTAGTTCAAGTCTTCCGTTATATGTCGGAAGGAATGATCAGGTAACAATCACCAACTCTAATATAACAGTTAGAATGATTTAACATTTAGATTAATTTGATCATTGTTGGTTTATCCGAATTTGTCCGTAATTTCTCATCATTTTTGACAACATTTTACTAATAATTAGTAAACGAAAAAACAAAAATATTTTAGATTATTGTATTCTCTAAATATTCGGCTTCAATTCGAACATTCGTTTTTTAAAATCGGTTTAATGATGATCGAGAAATGGTTAAAAAACTAAAGACTAGTTCAAGTCTTCCGTTATATGTCGGAAGGAATGATCAGGTAACAATCACCAACTATAATATAACAGTTAGAATGATTTAACATTTAGATTAATTTGATCGTTGGTTTATCGGAATTTTTCCGTAATTTCTCATCATTTTTCGACAACATTTTACTAATAATTAGTAAGCGACAAAACAAAAATCTATTAGATTATTGTATTCTCTATATATTCGACTTCAATTTGAGAATTCGTTTTTTAAAATTGGTTTGATGATGATCGAGAAATTGTTGAAAAACTAAAGACAAGTTTTCCGTTGTATGTCGGAAAGGATACATTTTTGGAACTCGATACACGTAGGGCTTCCTCGTACGTTCACCGGTTTTCGGTACTTCGTCCGTTTCCTGCACATTCACTATTCATTTCGTCGTGTCGTGCTAATTCTTTCGGTAAATAACACACTTAAGTAAATGAATCGAAACGAAACGAAAAGAAGAGAGAATTAAATAGATAGAAGACTATTGACCTTACGCGTGCGACACGTTAATATTTCGCAGGTTTCGCTCTCGAAGGTCACTATTATACGAGCGGAGGTGTTTGAGTGTGTATGTTTTTCTGAATGCGAAAGAGTGCAAAAATAGAACCGGTGAACTCATACACATATTTATTCTTCCACATCAATTAAACCCAATGAACGTTGAAGTGAATTACACCCGAAGGAACGACGTGAACAATAATGAAAAGGGTCAGAGAGCTTCACTGCTTTATTACCGAAACGTGAGGGGGCGCCACACTTTATGACCGATACAAAATATTAAAATAACTTTACGTTCATTTCGAAAAGTGTACGTGTTTTTCATTCAATTTCTATAATAATTATTACATTTTCCACCCTCGTCTCGTCTCTTAGAGTCGGAAAAGCTGGGGGGGAGTTTTCAATTTAACGAAAGCAATAATTTCTGCCTATCCGTGCAGATTTTCTCCCTTCTCTGAGGAGAAAAAAATAAAGAGAAAGGGAGATAGAAAGCGCGAATAAACAACGTGACTGAAAGTGATGGAAAGGGCGTCGCGACGTCGCGGCGTCTCCATACATAAAATGTAATTAACGAGAGATGCATTAAATTGTAACTTGTTTTTCATGAACATATGAATATGAATGATTTAATTCTCTATATTTAGTGTTATTACTCAAGATGATGCTGATAGTTCATATTGAATGAATTGTGTAAATTTTATTATTTTTCATAGTTAATTTGTTAGATACAAAAAAGTTGAATTGAATTAGTTAGTTAGTGAAAACTCGATTTAGTCTCTCATTTGTTATGATTTTTTTTTGTGTGTTCTTTTGTTTATAGTTGTGTGATATAACGCTAAAGATAGGTTTAGAAAGGTTCAGGGCGCACAAAGTAGTCCTGGCATCAATTAGTCCATACTTTTTCGCCATGTTCAACGGTGAGTCCCCATCAAATTCATTAATTCATTCATTAACTGTAGTATTTAGCTATTTAGATCAGATCTAGACACTATTTCGATCGCACTTGTTTTGTTTTTTTTTAATTTTAAATTGCATAATCGAGATAGTGTCGACCTCGATGTAGATGGAGCCTGTTGCATGCGATGCACGCAACCCAATTAACGGCGTAATCGAAACAAGAAAAAACAAATTCCGCAGGTGATATGAGGGAGCAGGGTTGCCCAGAGGTGGAGCTGCACGAGATGGACGCCATTGCCATTGAACTTCTGGTCGAGTACGCGTACACCGGTGAGATCACCATCACCGCCGACAATGTCCAAGTGCTGCTTCCCGCCAGCAGTCTGCTGCAGATGCAGAAGGTGCGCGAGGCCTGCTGCCGTTTCCTCATGCGACAGTTACATCCCACCAACTGCTTGGGTATCAGGAGTTTCGCGGACACGCATTCATGCAAAGAGCTGCACCTGAAATCGCACTGTTTCGCGCTGCAGAATTTCCAGCAGGTCGTCGCGACGGAAGAGTTTCTGCTGTTGCCGTTCCAAGAGGTAAATAAATTCAATTTGACAGTAAACAAATTTTGTTTAATAAAGCATCCTAGATTATTTTATAAACAAAAGTCGATTACTTTTTTCAATTGTTTAAGAACTATTTGTTTAGCATCCTTTAGATTAGTGTTTAAATGACATTTCATAAACAAAAGTCGATTACTTTTTTCAATTGTTTAAGAACTATTTATTTAGCATCCTTTAGCATTATGTGTTTAAATGACATTTCATAAACAAAAGTCGATTACTTTTTTCAATTGTTTAAGAACTATTTATTTAGCATCCTTTAGGATTATGTGTTTAAATGACATTTCATAAACAAAAGTCGATTACTTTTTTCAATTGTTTAAGAACTATTTATTTAGCATCCTTTAGGATTATGTGTTTAAATGACATTTCATAAACAAAAGTCGATTACTTTTTTCAATTGTTTAAGAACTATTTATTTAGCATCCTTTAGCATTATGTGTTTAAATGACATTTCATAAACAAAAGTTGATTACTTTTTCAATTGTTTAAGAACTATTTATTCATTAGTGTACAAATGTAATATAGATTTGAACGTTTGCACAGGTGGAGGAATTGATTTCCAATGGACAGTTGAACATTGCGTCGGAGGAGAACGTTTTCGCGGCAGTTTTGAATTGGGTCAAACACGATTTAGCTAACAGAAGTCAGTACGTGTCGAGGGTGAGTGCAGGCGGATGCTCTTCATCGAAATCAGTTTAACGTGTAATTCTCTCTTGTAGTTGATGGTGCACGTGCGACTTCCACTCGTCAACCGGGAATTCCTGATGAACAGAGTGGACAATGAACGGTTGATCCGTGAAGATAGTCAATGCAGGGAACTTCTGCTGGAGGCGATGCGTTACCATTTAGCGCCGGAGAGGAGATGCGCCCTTTCCACGCCGAGGACGATGGAGAGGAAACCGAAGGGCGCCGAACCCTATCTTTTCGCAATCGGTAATGTGAAATTTGCATTATTATGATGTTGGCGACCTTGATTGATTGATTACAATCCTGACGAGGAGGACGATCGCCACGACGGACGTTACCAACGAGACGATCACCAGGCAACCGCAAGGCAACATAACAAAACACGATACTGCCACTACTACTACTTCTTTCTGTCTTTTCATTCCATTCCATTTCCACCCCTCTTTGAGATTAATTATTCAAAATCCGCTTCATGTCACATATATACTATTACCGTACATTATTGAATTAGTTTAATGAGATTTACTTTTGCTTTATCGATCGTTTCACCAGGTGGTGGGTCTCTGTTCGCCATCCACGCCGAATGCGAGGTTTACAACCCGAAGACGGACACTTGGATGGCGATCGCACCGATGCAATGGACCAGATCCAGATCGGGCGTCACCGGTCTGAGGAGGAACCTCTACGTCGTCGGAGGGTAACAACCACCTAGCAACCATCACCATGGCAATCATCAATTGTTGTTATTTTGCAGTTATGATGGAGCTTCCGATCTGGCGACGGCGGAATGCTACAACCCACTGACCAACAACTGGACGCCGATCACGCCGATGGGAACGAAACGCTCTTGCCTTGGAATCTGCTCCTTCGACGGTCTGATCTACGTGTGCGGCGGATACGACGGGGCCTCCTGTCTCAGCAGCATGGAGAGATTCGATCCGTTGACGGGAGTCTGGTGCAGTTGTCCTGCGATGAACACGAGGCGTCGATACTGCAGGATCGCAGTCGTCGGTATAACACACACAACGTTCTTTTGTTTCTTAACCAAAACAAAACAATAAACAGTTCAATCAATTAATTGTTATCTTTGCAGAGAATTGCGTTTACGCTTTGGGCGGATTCGATTCGACGAATTATCAAGCCTCGGTGGAAAGGTAAATGAGGAAATTTTGAATATATATGTGAGAGCAGGAGGAAACGTTTTTCGGGACTCGCTTAGCTCGCCCATCAAGATCCTTGTTTATTATATATGTATGGTATTGATGGGCGAGCCGAGCAAGCCCTGAAAGACAAAAGCATCATCATCCGGCGGAAACAACGAACTGTCGAATTGTCATTTAAACTATAAATTCATTCATACTTGTTTCTCTTGATTTTTTAGATTCGATCCGAGAGTTGGGAGTTGGTCTCCGGTGCTTTCGATGTCTTCCAGACGCAGCAGTTGCGGCGTCGCAGCGCTAGATGGACACCTGTACTGCATCGGAGGTAAAAATCACAGGGCAGTGCATTTTAACACATTGACGACGGCATGACCCATTAATTATAAATAATAGTTTTGTTGCTATGTACGCCACTGATTTTGACTGAGAATAACCTCAAATATCTTAAGTCAATTACAAACTTCAAACGCCGATACATTTCTTATACATATTTTAATAATTCTTGAAGCAATTTAGAATAATACGTGATATTATGACATAATTTAGGCATACTTTTCAAATTAACTTGCGAAGCATATTTGAAATTTTCATTCAAGTAGAATTGAATGAAAATTTCAATATTTTTCCCACAATTGTTATAAATTGCTTCAATATCATTAAAAAATGTATAAGAAAAATTTAAACGTTTAAAGGTTGACGTAATTGACGTAAGATATTTGACGTTTCACTCAGTCCATAGGCGTCCACGAAAAAATTTCTGGGGGCAGACAACCCGAAAAGCGCCGTCCTTAACGTGTTAAGTTAATGTTTTTGTTGAAATCTCCTAGGCAACGATGGAACGATGTGCATGTCGAGCGGGGAACGCTTCAACGTGCGTCGCAACGCCTGGGAACCAATAACATCCATGAACAACAGAAGGTAATTAATTGTTCATTTTTTGGAAACAAATATTAAAAAGTAATTTTTGGTGATGCGCAGATCAACGCACGAGGTTGTCGCTATTGACGGATTCATCTACGCGATAGGTGGTAACGACGGATCTTCCAGTTTGAACTCGGTGGAAAGGTACGACCCGGTTGTCAATAAATGGACGATAGTTTCGCCGATGGTGACGAGACGGAGCAGCGTCGGGGCGGCAGTCTTGGACTGCATCAACATCGAGAGTGTGGTCAGACAGACGAGCGTCGTCACCAAGAGCTGATGACAACAACAACAAAAACAAACAATCAAACGTTCACTGCCATGGCAACAACCAAACTGATACGATGTGATATTACCCCATTATATGTTATTATTATTATTTTTACGAAATCGAAAATATTTTTATTATTTATTCAATGAATTTTTATGCATTTGTAACATCTGGCTTAGATGACGACGACGAAGAAGAAAGGCTTTAATTGTTGATGTACTATTATTCAATGTCGTGTGTGTATATATAAATAATTATGGATTGAGGTGTACCAATCTGAAAACAATAAAATTCTGCACTGCCATTAATCCAAATATAAGTTAATTCAAGATCTATTTTCTTTACAATTTCAACTGTACACACTTACATTATTATACAGTGGAACCTCGCTTAACGAATTGTAAGAAAAATGACTCGCTTAACGAGGAAAGGAAAAGTCTCAGTGATTGTGTTTCCTCGTGTTACAAAACGCTTGTATTGCTCTGAATGAAACGCGAAAAAAAAAAATAATATGTGCTTACATCTATTGGAAATATATGGAAATAGAAATTTAATTTGAAAATACATCAAGTGAGCGCATTTATAAATAAAACAATAACTGCTATGAATTAAACATCATAGTATAATATATATATTTGGGGGATTTACATATTCGATTTTATGCGGAAATCTAAACAAATCTCAATCAATCATTTCAAATCTAATAAAATTGCTAAAACAGTTTTCGTTTGTAGTTGTTTGATTATCCACCGGCCATGATGGTGACAATTGTTACTTTTGAAATAATTGTTTTGCAGGTTGGTAGATCTGTTGAGCTCAGAAAATGGTGCGCGTCTTTCACGTTTCTTATTTCATTTTCAAATCCAAATAAGAAAATTGCGAAGAATAATTCAACGAAATAACCGTTAATGGTAAGCAATTTACTTTATTATTAATTTACTTTAGTTAATATATATATATATTACGCAAAGCAACAATTAGATTGTTCGAAAGTGTTTGAAACTTCAGATCAGTTAGTTGAAGAGTTGTCCACCAGGACCATGGTGTCGCGAGCATCGATGATCGGGTTGTTTGGGTTGCATATAATAAATTTGAATTTTGAATTCAAAACGTATAATTTAAATATTTGAATATTAAATTTTATATTGAGTTTGAGCATCAAACGTGTAAGAGGTTAAGAACGGATTTAAGTGTTGTAGGGATGGAATCGTGGTGTTTTAAGAAAAAAAAAAGAAATATCGATGATGTAAAATCAATCAAATGTATTCTCTTTATTTGATTTTGTTTTGAAAATTTGCATTTCACAATATACTATAATAAAATATATGTTGGCACTGTTCAATCGCGAACAGTCGTAACAAGTGTACAAAGTAAAAAAAAAAAACGCATTCGCGTCGACAATTGTTTCTTTTGAAATAATTGTTTTGAAGGTTGGTAGAACTGTTGAGCTCAGTGCGTCTTTGAAAGTGGTGCGCGTCTTTCACGTTTCTTATTTCATTTTAAAATCCCAATAAGAAAATTGCGAATAATAATTCAACGAAATAACCGTTAATGGTAAGCAATTAACTTTATTATTAATTTACTTTAGTTAATATATATATTACGAAAAGCAACAATTAGATTGTTCGAAAATGTTTGAAACTTCAGTTAAGTTAGTTCAAGAGTTGTCCACCAGGACCATGGTGTCGCGAGCATCGATGATCGGGTTGTTTGGGTTGCATATAATAAATTTGAATTTTGAATTCAAAACGTATAATTTAAATATTTGAATATTAAATTTCATATTGAGTTTGAGCATCAAACGTGTAAGAGGTTAGGAACGGATTTAAGTTTTGTAGGGATGGAATTGTGGTGTTTTAAGCAAAAAAAAAATATCGATGATGTAAAATCAATCAAATGTATTCTCTTTATTTGATTTTGTTTTGAAAATTTACATTTCACAATATACTATAATAAAATATATGTTGGCACTGTTCAATCGCGAACAGTCGTAACAAGTGTACAAAGTAAAAAAAAAAAAAACGTGTTCAGATGGTGGTTGTTGGATATGCGGCTAACTAGGCTTAGTATCTAACCATTGACATCATCATAAGTGTTAGTGTGTATATGTTTTAAGAGTACAAGAGGTGCAAAACGTGCGATAGATATGCAAAGAAAAAAAAAATAATAAAAATCACAACAAAATATTACGTTATCCTTGTATCCGAGAGAACGTCCATCATCATCATCAGTCTCAAAAAGTCTGCCGAAAGTTTTGCGCCACCTAATCTATTCCATCGAAAAAATAGTCGGGTATAAAAATGTCTTTTTTTTCTTCTTCAGTCACCACCACTTCGTCTTCTTCAATTAGACTATCTACAGCATCCGTCGAACAGATCACAAAACTTCTCTATCACAACGAGAGTCTTGCGATCGATGAGGTCACGATCATCTCATATCGTGCGTAGATTAAACAAACAAACAAAACGAGAATGAAAATGATACAAAAAATTTATAAATATATTGTTATTACACGACGAACGGGAACCGGATGCGATCGAAAAGGAAGAATAAAATCACTTCGGGCGCGGTTTCTGTTGTAGTTGTGCCGTATTCAGGCGGTTTTTTTTTAAGGGGGTGTAGAGGGTTGTAGAGTTAGATGGTTACGAAACGAACCGGTGCCAAGGTTGTGTACCTTCAAGCGTTTCGAGACTCTGCGCCCAAGCAGCAATTACGCGATCATGGATCAAGCGCCTTCCTCTTCACCGATTGATTGCTTGAAATGTCTTTCTTCGATCTCTTGTACGCGTTCAACCTTACCACCGCGTATTCCTACATCAAAAAGAACATAATATTATTATATTTTGTGTGTTTTTAGTTGAATTGGCGAACCGAGTCACTCACCCAATAGCCGAAGGGAATCTTCGAGGTTTCCGCGTTGACGATGCTCCAAAGAGTCCAGAAGAAGTGCGACGCCAAACTGAAGACTTTGACTTCGCGCATGACTTGCATCGGACTATCGCCGGATCCAGTGTCTTGCAGGTATGTCTTTATGAAGTTTAACCTAAACTCCTCGCTTGGGTAATGATGGATGGTCTCCTTGAAGAACGGACTTTCCGGTTCGGTGTAATTGTACATAAACTCGACGAAGTGATTGGCAATGTCGAACGATCTGTAGTTGTACGAGCAGTACTCGAAGTCAATCAACACGAACTTCGGGTCCTGACCATAGTTATCGTTCACATCCTCCGAGATCAGGATGTTGCCCTCCTGCATATCGTTGTGGCAGAACCTTACCGGGCAGTTCTCATCCTCCATCCGCTTCTTCAACCATCTGTACTCCTCCTGCAGATCCACATCCAACAGACTCTTCGCAATCTCAGGCACATTAGTCTTCAGCTGCGACTGGCTGGACTTCAGCCAACGCTCCATGGTTTCCCACAGCCAACTGGGATCTTTGTGCAAGGGCACCTGAAATACACACGACGCTCGAATCAGTCGGACAAAATCGCACGCAAATCTAAATAATAATAGAAGAAACGAAATGAATGAAGTCTGAGAGCAATTCAGAAGAATATGAAATGAATTTTGAGATTAGAGAAAATAAAGTTAAGAAAAAAAAAACTTAAAGGTAAGATGGTATAAATGGTAAAATATAAATAAAATGTACAGTAGTCGTCGGCATGGTTCTCTCGCAACAGCGGCACCCAAAATTTTCAACATTTTTGGTGGCGCCTGGTCCAAGTGACACGATTACACTTGTTTTTTTTTTGTTCGTTTCTTTGTTTAATTTTTAAAATCCGCTTTGACCAATAGGCGGCTTCGAGATAGAGGCTTTGGCCCACGCAAATCGTCGCTTCTTCGGCTAAAACATGAACAGAAAAAAAAAACAAACCCCATATGTGTGGACGACAAAATCATACAATAGATAAATAAATAAATTAGTGATGAGAAGGTGGATAAGAGGAGGAGTAGTTAGCTGTGTGATAAGGAATCATCGTTTACATAGGACTTGCTAATATCGCGCGACGTTATCGTTGCAGCAATTACCGCTAAGTTCTATGTAAACGTGTAGATTTTAAAGGCTACGTTTGTTGAAGGTCTTTGTGGATGGTGGAAATGTTCAGACAACGACGAAAACCAAAACTGGAGCAACAAATAACAACAACACTGCTATCTTTCCGTTCTGGCGGTAGCTTTCCTCTTCTCCACGAGTGGATGAGTGGAAACTACAAGCAAATAACGGAAATTTCCGTCGCGCCGATAAAAAAAAATCGTTTCCATTTCGAGTTCAAAGATCTCGCAAAGTGTGTATAGAATGCACTTACTTACTACAGACAATTGTTAAGGATTATCGCTATCTAATCAGAATGTGAATTGTACACACTTTAAACTTGTTTGATTTTAGGGAAAATTTTGATTGAAGATTTGGCTTTGTTCGTCGTCGTTGTCCAAGGAAAATAATTTGCTTAGCTTAGCTTCGTCGAAACATTGCTGCAATCAAATCAATTGATTGCAAACAGCACAAATTACTCAATGCATAAACTATTTGGTAACAACAACGTTTCGTTTATATTTTGATAGCAAGGGTTTCGACAAGGCTGCAGCCGTGCAAATTTCACGTCAACACAATGACCACGTGAAATCATACAATTTGTAAGTAAAAGAAAATATATGTCTCACCTAGTGCTGTTTTCGAATAATAAATTCAATTAGCGTGTGTGCACATGTCTTGTGTATAATAGAGGTGTAATATTTATGTGTTTGTGTGTTTTTTGTCTGTTTCTAGGTGTATTCAATCGGAATGTTCAATCTCACCTCCATGCTGTGTATGAGGGCCATCTTCTCGGCGATCTGCGTGCTGTACTTCTCGTTGGCCAATTCTCGCGTCTTCAGCGGTCTCGCGTGCATGTACTGCTCGATGCGACCGCCGGGGAAGATGCCGTGCAACTTTGGACCTAGACCGCGCTCAGACAGCAGCGTGAAGATGACGCTCTCGGTGATGAGGGCCTCGAGGGCGCGCTCCCCCCCGTGCGTCTGCCCGTACACTCGGATCAGCACCTCCTTGGGTTCACCGTGCGGCATCGACGATTTCACCAGGTGATCCGGCAGGCTGATGTGGTACAGCAAGTTCGAAAGACCACCGCTGCAGCAACACGAAAAACAAGTTGCATAATTCAATCAATAAGCAAGTAAATCAATCGATAATCTTACAACTTGGAAGTTCTCAAACATGCATTTTTTTTTGTAGGAATAACAAGTTGCATAATCGGAAAAACCGGAATTCAGTAAGTTACCAATTTTAACTAAAATTACTAGAAATTGAAAAGCGTTCTCATTCAACTGCGACGGAATTTTTATAATTATTCGTCGTACGTAGTTGAATGAGTACGATTTATGGAATTCACCGTAAACAACGACTCACAGAGAGAGAGTGCTGTTGTTGAATAAACAAACGCGTGGATCAAAACAAGTTTATCCTACATGTAATGAGGCATTGGGCTGGGGATTGGCGACCCAAGAGAAGAAGGTTAAAAATAAGCGTAGATGGATGGCGCCGTTATTTATAGTTGCGTTCTATCTATATTATTCTCGCCGAAACGTATGAATATGTGTGTCTGCAACACAGTAACAGCAACAGCAGGGGAAGAAGAAGGATAACCTTCGCGAAGATTGCACCGAAAATATTCCATCGATCGCTTTCTGTTATAGTAGTTTACACGATTTCTGCGACCTTCGCCTTTTTTTTTTACGTAAAACAACAGGTTTTACGCAAATTTTGCGCACGAATCAACAATAACGGACAAGCAAAGATAATATTGTATGTAATTAATTACCTGATGTGCTTGAAACCGACATTCTCGGCGGTAACATTTTTCCAAGCGCCGTGCAAGTAGTCCCTGCAGATCCGCGACGTCAGCTCCTTCATCGCTTTGTGGTCCGACTGCATCTGCGGGCGTAAACGAATTCACATTAGAGGTGTTCATCATGGATGGATTCAAAATTTCGATAAGATGATGATGGTAAAATCAAACTGGTAATTACATGGTAAATGGATCGGTGATGTTGATGATGATGATGATGATGATGGGGAGAGCGATGCAGGACGAGAGGCAGCATTCTCAGGATTCCCACGAGACGCTGCGTCATCGTGACAATCCTTTGACATGTTTAAACTCAGAGATCTATTTAATTTTTTTTCTTTTTCTCTATAACAACAACAAACACTACGAACCTGACGCCTATGCAGAATTGTTAAAGCTATTTGGTTGCGCGATCCAAAAATTTACCGGTTTTCCTCGTGTCGAAACAGCGGTGTTATGTGTACGCGTGTTGCGTATTATGGAAGGAAATGTCAGAGGGCATATCGATTCGGTCCGGAAAAGCGAAATACGCCTGCGTTTCCATCGATCCGTTTCCCCTCTTTACACTTTATACTTTTCACGTGGAAATTTGCAAAATTTATCAACAATAGACAATTTGCAAAATGAATACTAACTTAATCCACGTGGAAACAATCAAATGATAAAAATTAATTAAGCAAAAGCAAACAAAAAAAAAATAGTTTTTTTTGCAATCTGGTATTTCCCCTTAATACAATACAAAACAATTTATAAAAAAAACAAATCCGCGGAAATTGTTTCTTTATTATTCAATTGCACAATTATTACGCGATGATTCATTTCACGTGCAACATTTCAATTATAAACTAAATCACTTTATCTCATTTTTTTTGCAATTAGTTCAAACAATTTAATCTGCACTTTAATAACTTTCATTCTCTGTTGCTAAGCTACGTTGCTTAACTATCAAAATATGTAATTGATTCTCATAGGCGAATACTGAGAAGTATTGTTGCTAGGAAACCGTTTTGGCGTCGATTTCGTTGTTAAACAATTACGGGATTTCTTGAAAACAGATCTCTTGATCTTGACCAAAGTCCGTGTTTGCAGTTTCTCCTCTTAAATGCAAATAATTTAATTTCAATTTAAAAAAAAAACATTGAATACGACGCGATAACAGTTTCATCAATGAATCATGATGAATCAATAGCAAATTACAGATAAATTCAATTTGTTTTAAATTAAGTTGTAAACAAAACATGACATACTATGATTGACAATGCAATAACAAAAGAAAATTGTTAAATTTCAAAGTTGTTCGTCGACCACGACGACACATTTCGATTTACAATTAGCTAAAGACAAAGGTCACTGGAAATATTCATTATTTACTTTCCTTGTGCAACGTGTGAAAGTCGTGTGTTGCCTTCTATTTACAAAAGAATCTTCAATTGTTTAAACAATGCAAATTTTAATGACAATCGAGAGACGCGTGTACAATTATTTTTTTTTGCCCACGTTACGTTTACGTTATCGCTGCGTTTACGTAACGAAAATTATGCATCCGTTGCTGATAAATTCGGTTTTTTTTTTTTTGTTTTTTTTTGTTATGAAAACCGGTTATCTTTTTGGGATCGAAAAAGGGACGCAGGCAGCCCCTTTTCGCATACACACGACGTACCTTATTGCTGTCGCCGTTGTTGCTGTTGCTGTAGCTCACGATGGACATTCTTGTTTCTTCAATTCAATTTCACTCTTTAATTTATTATTTTTATTTGCAGTGTGCGTGCTGTAGAAGATGACAACAAAAAGGGGAATCCTTATTGTATTATGTGTTTATCATCGAATAAGTAAGAGCACGATTCGCAGGACACTTAAACGTAAGTAAAAGTCAGGAATAGAACACGCAGCCCGACTAAAAAACTTGATTTAAGTAAAGAAAACCCGACCCGGCTCTCTTTATCGGTACACCCGATTGGCGGTGGAGAGGGGTGGGGGGATGACGCGGAAATTGTCGAACTAACGCGAACGATTATAAACCGCGCGATGCGTCACATCATTTTGTTGTTGTTGTCTCTTCTTTAACAATCGCCGATCGTTATTCAATACTTAATTACGTCAATTTAATATTAATTATTGCAAAGAAAACGATCACCGATCCAAAAATATGATCCGTGAGAGGCGTTGCTTAACTATTGACATTAAAATTCGATTGCGATTTTTGAACTTTCGATGGAATCACGCGACGTTTTATGTAATCGCATTTGCTTATCAAACTTTTGCGTGGACGGCTGGAATTTCGCTCATTGATAATGTTTTGTCGCCAATGATGATGATGATGACGATAATGACAACAAAGTTTGGACTAAGTAAACAACAATAACAACAACATCATCAAAATCCAAATTGTTGTTTACTAAAAACCCCGAAAACGTAATTATACCAATTACAAAACTCGAACAGAAATTATATTGCGTTGTTTCAATAATTATGTTTTACTTAAATAATTATTTTTTAATGACTGAATTCGTTTTCTGTTATCATCGTTCCAGCTATCACTTGTTGCTTTTTTTTTGTCACGCTAAATATTCGCATTTCAGTTGATTCTCAAGGCCTCCTCAATTAATTGCGCGCTTATAGAAATCGATTACTAATATTATCTAGTATTATTAGCTTAGATTCGCTATAAATTAGTTTTTCTTTTGTTATCTATATTCTACCACTGATTGCTACTTTTTTTTTAATGATACCCAATTGAGCATTATCTTGGAAAATGATTTTATCGAGCTACATAATTACGTAATTGGAGATTTCCTAAATTACCTACTAAGTAACTAACTAACAGAGACAAGAGCAATTTTCGTTTGTTACCACGCAGTTTGCTATTGCTATTAAGTTGTTTCCAAGAATTCAAGAAAAATTTTACCGCACATTTTTTATGCTGGGAAAACACATTCTGTGCGACCTTGCGAAAATTTTCCATTTACTACTCAACTTTTCGTAGATTTTTATTCCAATTCATTTTACTACAAAAGTCACCTATTATTTATTGCTTAAAGTTTTTTTTGAAAATTTCAGTTGGAAGAAATCTCAGAAGAAATTCAGCAATTGATTTTGCGAAGCGCAATGCGACGAAATATGAGGGTGTACGAATTTAGAAAAGCCGAGCACGCAAAAGGACGACTCTCAAGGTTAGTTATTCGGTTAGTTAGCATGCAATATTTTGCAGAAAAGAAAACATCAATTGTGAAATCGTAAAGAAAATTGCGCGCCAGTTTCATGCCCAATTGAAAATTGTAACGCTCATAAACACGAATCGTAAAGTAATAATCAAGCGCCGCACAGTCAATATACTTTCAGGTGCTTTAGATATCTAAATTCTGCGGTAATCTTTAGCTTCAACTATTGTTTGCTTTACAGATAAAACGCGGCGACGTAAACTGATCTCATAATCTTTTATAGTTTTATTGAAAGAGAAAGAATTAATATAGTGATAATTGTAAATTTAATTCGCGTCCGGTGTGAATTAGGTGATCGATGCTATTTTGAATGTTTTATCATTATTATCTACTAAATACCATTTATATAACCACTTCAATTTCGAGCACTTTACGCCGCATTATTACGATTTTTATTTTTAACCGTAAAAAATTGATGAGTAATAAAACTATAAATACATTTTGTAGTAAAGTTACTTTGTGGTCATTTCAATAAGCCACTTGTTTAAGTCAACAAAAATATGAATGAATTAGAAACAGAACTCAGGACTGAACCTAGAGGCAATCCCAATCATCGTGTCTTACAAACACGAACAATGAATTGTTTGTTTTGTTTTCAATTAACGCGGGTAATTTGATTTGTTTTCCACGTATTTCGCAGTTGAAATTAGTTTATTTGTTCAGTCTCTCACACTTTGTTGCTTTAATCGCATTAGTTGTTAAGAATCGTTATCGTGATTGCTTTTTGAAACAACTTTTGTTTTTTTTTTTTCAGAAACAAATGTATTAACGCCAACTAAGCTAATTTACAAATGAGAGTAACGATGCATGTAGATAATATGAAATATGTTGTAACAAAAAAAAAACATATTTCAACATTTGCTACAGGTGATTTACTGCGAACAATATTATTTGTTTACTTAGATTTGTCAAACGCACAATGTTATTATTTTATTGATAATATCATTCAGATTATAAAAATTTCATTTGTAAATTTAATTGATGGAATATTCGAAATTCTATAATTGAAATGGTTGTAAATATTTTCGGGTTTTAAGAAATGTTTACTTACTCATCAAGAGAGAACGAAGAAGTGGAATTCTCTTAGTCGTGACCTCAAACGTTGCGATTTGCTAAAAATGATATGCGTCTGATCTTCGTTTTCCTTTTCTTTTCGTTTCGTTTCATTCCTCGCAATTCCTCGTTTTTTGTTTTTTGCAATTCATTTTCTTTATTATTTTTATTCACAGAAAGAAACTGCAATGAAAATGGAAGAAAATGGTAATATTTTCTAAAGAAAGTTCAAGTTAACGATTAATTTACAACAATCACACCGAGAATAGATTTACATGTGAGTATGTTTATTTTTTTTTCATTACTCTTTTTCATTACATGCATAATTTTACATGTTTTATTTAAACAACTTCTTTTCTTTTTATCCCAAACCGCAAAGATGAAAAGTATCGTTTCGTTGTTTATGAGATTATCAAAGTCACCTTTGGATTAAATTTATTAGGCAACCAAAGTTGATTCGATGATTCTAAAAAAGAGTAGAAAATGATTTTTTTTTTTGCTTAGATTTACATAATTAATACAAATTGAAAACAGTTGCGGGGGGGGGAAATAATTAAAAGGAATTAGGTCAATGATGTTCTTTTTCCAAATTTTTATTATCGCAAAAAATTTAACAAGACTAGAAATTTCAAAGTAATATCAATAAATAATAATAGTAGTATTATAATAATAATAATAGTAATAATAGTATAATAATCATATAATAAAAACAGAACATATCAATATGGCATCCCTTACAAAAATAATCCGAGAGTGTTCGGAGACAAAAAAAAAACACGAAAAGAAAATAAATAATTTAAAATAATAGTAATAGTAATAATAATATATAAAACATCCACAACACCACAGATAAAGTAGTAGTCCGTTCGTCCGTTTCCGCTTTCATCCTTTCGTCTCGTTTGATATTACACTCGCCGAACAAGTCATCCTCATCTCCAAACACCTGGATAAATCTTTGCCTTAGATATTAAGTTTACAGTTTCTTCCATCTATTCAACATCATCATCAATATCATCGTCGTCTTCACATCTAAATGTATTTTCTTTTTGTTTTGTTTCTGTTATTTCAAATATATATATATATAATATAATATAAACTCTCGTTCGATCTTCTGCGCGCCTAAATTATAATAATTTCTCTCTTCTCTTTGTTCTTCGATATTTTATTGTTCTCTGCTTGTTTTCATCTTCTCTTCTTCCTTAAATTGCTCGATTTATCCTCCTGGAACCTCTTGTCGTTTGGGCTCCTCTCATCCTCTCATCCATCCATCCATCCATCCATCCACACTCGCAATCACACTTTTCAAAAAACATACACACAGAATAATAATATTGATCACATATTTTTATTTTCATTTTCCTTTTTCCCTTCATTTGCTCTTTTTTTTTGTTTGTTTGTTTGTTTGTTTTTGTTTATGATTAGTTGCGTAGCGCGTGTCGAAAATCGCGCGCTCACTAGACATTAAGTAAATAAGTCGAGAAGGAGAGAGTAAACAAAAATTAGAGAGGGTTAAACGAAATGTGACCGGATCCGACGAACGTATTTAGAATTCATTCCTCCCGTCAAGCTTTTGCTCTTTCATCTTTTTTTTACTTCCGAAGACGCGAAAAGCCAAATTAAAGATAATAACAAAGAAAAAGAACTTTGATTTTCGTCGCGGTTTAATAAAAAAAAATTGTAACTAATTTCGAGATTTTCCGTAAACGAAAGAAACGGCCGTACGTGTTTACTACACGCCGCCCTCCTTCTTTCAAGCGAATATATTAATATTATTATTATTTCATAATTTCTTGTATATATATATACACACACACAGACACGCACGCACGCAAAACCCTTCACTCTCTCTCTCTTTTGCTTTCTCTCGTTCCGTCTCCGTTTCACAACATTTAGCGGTTTTCAGCAAATCTTAGTAATTATTATTATTATTATTTATTTAAACCCGGCGCATCCGCCCTAAAATTTACTCGCGTCTGATTACTTCCTCCTCCTCCCAACATCCCATCCACTTGCTTTCCCTACGAAGGAGATGCTGGCGGCGGTGGTGGTGGCGGTGATGGTTGTGGTATAGAATAATATCGGTGTGGTTTCGTGGTGGTTGACGGCTGTTTCCGGCGGATGTCACTACGTCACCGGCCGGAAACGCCTGCAGCGCACGTTCGACTCCTGCGGTGGTTCACCTTCCGGGGGTGGCGGAGGTGGCGGTCCTTCCGACGTGTCCGGCGAACTTTCCGCAGCTCCGATCAAGTACGTCGGCACTCCGCGGTTCGCTCTCACTCCTGCAAATCAAACGACCCTTAAAATCAACGCCCTCTCTGTGTTTGTTTGATGCGATAATTAATGTTAGATCGAAATGCCGTGTCTCTGGTCTCGTTACGTCGGGAAGTACTGTTCGAGTCATGAATTGATTTGGTGATGATGAGGATGTTGATTGATTGATTGATTGATTTTAGTGATATTGATAGGAAAGCGGGTACCTTCCTGTGTGGACGCGGTGCACGTGGAAGAAGTGGTTGTGGTGGTGGTGGTGTTGGTTGTTGTGGTTGTTTCTGAGCAACTTGTCTCTTTGCAGGGAGGTTGCTCTGCAAATGCACAACGTTTACAAAAGAACAACAACAACGAAAAAAAGCAAACAAAAAAGTAAAATGAAAAATTTCCATCCTAAATTCGTGTTGTTTGTTGCTGTTGCGCAATGTGTATTACTCACCACCTCCTGGACCGGCGGTCGAGTGTCTCTTGAAGCGCAGATTGAGCTGGCTCGGATCCGTCACGTACTTTTCCGTCTGACGTCTTCTCCGCAGACCGGGCGTGAGATCACCAGACCACGACATGCATTTGGCCAACCTTTGACCGCTTCCCACCGCCACCGGAATCCGAGATTTCCCTTCAAGCGCTGGACTTGTCTACAAAACGTATGAACAAAACCGTAAGTTGTCTCCTCTTATATATTTATATTATATATTGTGCAGAATATACCGAAGTTTCCCTAAGTATTTGGCTAACATTGTCTACGCCGCTGTCCTCGTCGTCCTGCTCCAACTTCTTATCACGCAGCAGCGGGTTCTCCGTGGCATCGAAGTACTCGGACTGCTCATCCATTCCAGGACTCAGACCGTTGGCCACCGATTTCCTACATTTACTACCGAAAAGCAAACATTCCAATCAATCAATTAATGAATTAATACAAATATTTCAGATTATTATTACCTTGGCTCCAGAACGCTGTTCGCCGACACGAACGTCACGTTCGGATTGGAAGTCAGATCGATGGATGGACTGCAGTGAGGCTGATGCTGCTGGGTGGTGGTGGTGTCCGCTCGGATATTCTCCGACCCGGGTTTCCGCTCCAGATGGTGGACGCGCGCTCTACTATCCGAACGCGATGAACTGCTTTCGGATCTACAACAAACAAACAAAAACAGGTAACATTAACGTAACAGTTCGAAGTTATTTGTGTTGATTTCGAATAAGCGCACCTGTTTTGTGCGTCCAGATTATTCCTGAGTTTAGCCTTCTGGGCGGCCCTCAGCGCATCCAGAATCCCGCCGCATCCAAGCGCGTTGGCTTCACCGCCGCCGCCGGCTCCTTCCAGTCTTCGCTTCCTCTTCTCCTCTTCGTTAATCAGAGACTCAACCTTTATCGGCATACGACGCATCTCCTCCGTCTTCTCCACTTGCAACACCTCATCCTCTTCTTCATCCTCCTCGTCATCGTCATCCTCCTCGTCCTCCTCCTCCTCCTCATCATCACCATCATCGTTAGCGACGGCGGCGGGTTGAGGTGGCGGCGACGGCGGCTTCTCCAAACTCACTCGCTTCTCCAATCGCTTCTTCTCCTGCGTGTGTTTCTCCAACTCGTACTCCGGCGCGAAGCTGATCGCCTCCCGCTTGGGGCTCTGCAGCTGCGGCGCTTGATCACCGTTATCCTGCCTCTCTTTGCTTCCCTGCTTCAGGATGCTCTTCGTGCGCTCCAACTTTATCCTCGGCGAACCCTGCTGAGACACAGCCTCCGATCCTGTAGGAGTCTTTCCTTCGCCCACTCCGTTCTCCAAGGTCTGCGGTCTCTGCACCTCCTTCGCTACAACGCGAATCTCCAACTTTCCCGCAACCTGTCGTCATTCATTCATTCATTCAATAACCAATTACAAAATCAGATTTCATCACTACTCACCTCTTGCAAACCCTCCGGTTCGTTCTCGTCGTCCTCATTGCTTTTGAAACTTTCCTTATCGTTCAGAGGAATCGTCGGCATGCTGCCCCATCTCCTCGGCGGCACGACGATAGGCGCGACGACGGGACGTGTCGTCATCGTCGAAGCCGCTGCCGATGCGGCCTCCTCGGATTGATGGTGGCGCGATGCGACGTTTCGCATCACGTCCACCCGGAAGATGAGGTCATCGAATGCGGCTTGCTGGAGGAGCGGAGGCTTCAACCCGACGCGCACAAATGGTGACAGAGAGGGTGTTGACCATGCTCGTGGTAAACCACCTGGACAATCGCACAAACGCACAGACGTGATCATAAAAAAAAAATTTGAGGGCACAAACAGAACAAATTCCGAACAAATTAGATTAGAGATGAGAAATGAACAAAATGCAAATGTAAAAGAAGAAAAAAAAACTAGATCTCGAGAGAGAGAATGTAAGTGAAACAATATGATGCGGGTGGGGGTGTTATTGCAATTAATTATCGTTTGAAAGGGGGGTTGGACGGACGGATGGTGGAGGTTTTTCGTTCAAAAATTGAAAAAACACTTTGCAGGTGGTCGTTTGGGGTCTGATATTAGTCGCAAGTTGAGTTTACAGAGGGTTGCAGTGTTAGTGGTGACGATGTTGCGCTCCGCTTTCCGGTCGCCGCCGACTCTGTTGACTGAAATTGCAGATCGTTACCGTTACGCGCAACCTCTTGCATATTGCACAAACACACATCCAACAACCTCCCCCCTCGACAATAAATCACTTTCCAAAAACTAACTTCATCCTTCAATTTCCCGGCGAATCCGCCTAAATATGAAAGCATTTCATTGAAATTAGTTGTTTTGGAAATGATTCATTGACAACTGCTCGTATTTATATATATGATGATGATTATTATTATTATAGATGATCGATTGCGTTAATTACTCACCGACTAATTCGGGGTAGTCCTCGATACCGGCGATGTTGATGTACTTTTTATGGCTGGTGCGAGAATCTTCGCTGATCCTGCTGAGAGCTGGTGGAACGGCGGCCGCCTCCGACGCTCCCACCGCCAACGTGCTGACCCCAACACCACCACCTCCTCCTCCTGTCGCACCGCCGCATCTGTGCTCCGGACTTTCCGGCTTCCACTCATTGTCCGTCGTCTCCTCGCTATCGTCGAACTGCGATTTCCATTGGCTGGCGAGCGTAAGCGCTCCACCCCTCGTCACCTGTTGGCTGACGTTCTCGTCGTCCATCACCGCGAACTGCGTCAAACTCTGATCGCGAACGCCCGACCGCGAACTCCTCGCCGCCGACGGTTGTCGCCTCCTCGGTCTCTCCTGCTCCGGTGTTGCGGGAGCCTCCACGACGCTTCCACCTTGCTGAGGGGATGGCGCGACTCGCAATCTGCCGAGCGTCGCGACACCCGACTGGCTCTTGCGCAGCGGCGCCGGTTTGGCGTTCGCATCTGACGAGGATCTGGCGGAGGCGGCCGCCTCGTTGTCCAACTTCTCCGGAGGTTGCTCCAAATGAGACGTCGCTCTGCGTTTAGGAACTACAACAACAACAACAACAACATTTTTATATATTTTTCTTTTTCTTTGCAGAATGTCGACGTCGTTGTACCTTGTTGAACTTGTTCGCTGGCGGCAGTTGCGTTGCAGTTCTTGTCGACCGTCGGTCTCGAGGCATTTGTTTGAGTGGTATCGGCGACGAGGGGCGCCGTGTTCTCCGCCTCGATGTGCTTCCGCCGCGCGTCCATCTGGGCCTACGCGACGCACAAGATAGAAACAAAGAGAAACAAAAAGCAAAGATCAGCATCTTTCCGACTAGAAACACAGAAAAAAGAAAAGCACGGATCGTGCAGATGAGCGTCGAGCGAATTTGATAATGTTGCAAACTGAGCCCTCGGTTGTCTGTAACAGGGGGGGATTTAGGGTTGCAGGATGTACGCACCTCCTTGTTATCCGTTGGCTCGATGTTCTCTTGGTTGTTGTCGGTGGCGGTGGTGTGACGACGGGCGTTGTACCGCTGCAGCGTGCTTGGGGCGGTGGGCGGATGTCCTGCTCCGGGGGCGGGAGTCGTCGTGTTGTTTGGAGGCGGCACATTGGCTGTCGTATCACCGGTGGAAGCCTTCTCCCAATCGTACGGATCAGATTCTTTCACGCCCCTTCTCTTCATGCAACGCTCGAACAACGATATCAACATCTACAAACAGCATCAACATCATCATCAACATCATAATTAGTAAGTGCATATTTTCTATTTGTTACCGTATAATCAGGTCTGTCTGCGTACTCCAAGGCCTGGATGTGGTCTAGGAACTGCTTCAGATCGGACGGCAGGTGTTTGAGGAGAAGCCGATGATCGTACTTCTCTTTCATCAATCCGACTTGTTCTTTGTCTTTCACTTTCCTCCACGGCAGTTGTCCATTCACGAACTCCACGAGCATATAAAACAGACTCCAAAGATCGTCGTGTCGACCCATCTCTGAAAAAAATGATAAAACGTTCACTCTTTCCGTTTGCATTCGCGCAAAAAGCCAGTTTCATAATAGTAAGTACAACACCTCTGTTCCTGTGGGCGTTGATGCTGGCGTATCGGACGGTGCCGCGGAATCCTGCGGCCGCTCTCGGTGCCCTCACCTCCCCCGTGCTCGTCGTGTATTGTCTGGCCAATCCAAAGTCCAGCATGTAGACGCGTCTGCAGTTGTACGGCAAACTGCAAACGAAAACATTTAATTTTTTCTTCAATTTATTTTAGTGTATGTGTTAACCGGCCCATGGAGAAGTTGCTCGGTTTGATGTCCCGATGGAGGAAGCCGACCGAGTGGATGGACTCGATGGCCTTGAGTATCTGCAGGCCGAGGCGCAGCGTGGTGGAGAGACTGAAGGCGGCCCTCGGTTGCGCCCTCCGAAGTTCCGCTAGATTACGACCCTGCAGTTGCATCACCACGTAGTTGAAGCGGTCGTTGCGGCCGCATCCGATGAAGCGACAGACGTGCTCTTTACCCTGCAGCTTCTTCAGCACGGCCACCTCCATCTTCAGCACCTGCTTAGGCTGTCGCGCCGACTCCACTTTCAGAGCCACCTGTTCTCGTGTTATCAGATCCAAACCCTCGTAAATCTCGCCGAAACCGCCGCCTCCGATCTTCTTCACAACCTACAACAACATATTATCTGGTAAGTGAAATAATTAATAATTCAATCATCAACGGGGCGGTCTTCATTTGATTAAATGAGTCAATTAGTAATTTACTACGGCTTCGATTTCAGCTTTTTGGACTTTCTCCACATAGTGACCTAACCCAATTCCGCATCCGGGAGAGCACAAAAAGAAGGGGTGCTGTGCTGGTTGGCAATTGGCAAACGCCGCCACCCCCTCCCAATTACTCACTTTCCGCAAATGCAGCACAATCCCAATATTGTTGTTGCAACCTCCCACTTTATTTTTTTTCCATTTCTATCCTCATATTGTAATGCGCTATTTCCTGTCTCGCTTTTCATTATGATTTGTGATAGGACCATTTCGCCGTCAATCACTGCAGCCGACAGCTTATTTGACTTGACTGTGCAGAGTACTTAAAGCGTCGTCGCAGACTGAGCATATTTCAAAAACAAGTGATCGTCTGCCAAAACAGATGCAGCAGAACTTAACTGCTTTTACCTAGATTTTAATATATCCATCTTTCAAAATCTAAACTAAGTATTTGGTGTGATTCTGACAGCTCTTTGACATTTGATAAACGTCATTTCCTAGGTACCATGCAAACGTCATTCCTTCTCATACCTAAGCGCTGCTATTGGCTGCTATGCAGATTTTAACCTACTTTTCTTTTCACACAAACGTCATTTTCGAAACAAAAGGTGTGCGGTATTGAAAGGAGCGATCAAAATGCGCGTCTAAATATAACTCTGCACCGTCATTGTCTATGCTGCAATTAATCAAAACTTAACTATTGAGTTAACACTTTCTTTTTTTTTAATCTTTTTTTAATCATAGATGAGAAACAAATTAAAAAAGTTTCAAATATAAAATAGTTGAAGAACAATAAACAAAATGAAGCAGTTGGCAAAGTTATGTAGATGTGACGCATTACAGAAATACTGTATCCCAAACATAACACCAGAAATATATAGTATATAGTACGCAATCTAAATTCTTGACATTCTATTAAACGAGACACTAGTTTCTTTTTTTCTTCTTCAACTGAAACTTTTTCTACCTACTTTGAGTAGTTTCAAGTGATTCTTATTATTATTATTATTGTTATTGTTTTTTTTTTCAGGATGATTAAGGAAATAGTGATTTACCTTCCATCGCTCCTTGACGACGTGGCCGGGCTGCAGGAGGTCCTCGGACGTCATCGTGATGTTGTTATTTTGATCGGTCGAGTCCAAGTGTCCCTCCCAGCTCGATTTCTTAGCCCTGCAACAGAGGAGAGAGCACACAGGAAATCAGGAAGAGGAAATCGCCAAGTCCATTGCATTGTTGGTGTGGTGTCTAACTAATATCGATCATCGTAATCAACATTAACCGTCATCTACTACTACCAACAGGGTGAGTGAGAGTAGTATTACCGTGCGGTGTGATCCCTTTTCTTTCAGGTTCCTTCAATTTCGCTACAATAATTAGTCAGAGTGAGCTATGAATAATGAAAGGACGAGAGTAGGGGGGTCGATAAGGGCGCACACACAAAGGGGGAAAACCGGGACGACTGCGTTCAACATCGCGTCGCGCCGCTTTCACATTCACGCACCGAATGTAAACTATTATCACTACTTATTTATCTCGGTATCTCAGAAGAACGTTGAACAGTTGAAGAGGACCGATTATCAACCCCCGGCTGATATTTATAACCTTAACCCAGAATCATTGGCGCATCGATACTACTGCTAACTACGACTAGGAAGGGATGGAAATCAAAAGCGCACCCTGTTTTGACAGCGGCGACGTCGGCGTCGGCGTCGAATTTCTACTTCTTTCCTTTATTTCTAAGCTCACTCTCTCCCTCTATCTTTACCTCTGGGTGGTGTTGTTGTTACCTTTTCTATTCCATCCGCAAAATGTGATTTGATGCTGCTATATTTTAGGTTTGTTTGAAATTAGTGCCAGGCCGATTGCCTAACAACTTAGGCGCGTCACGGACCGATCACCGCACCAAAACACGTAAACCGAGACACCGACGACGTCGTGGACAGCTGATCGCGACGGCGGCGTCGGCGACGGTGGAGTAGGAGGAGGAGGAACTCAAGACACGCGCATGCCTCCGCGTCACCACCCGCAGAAAACGTACTATCACGAATACCAAGAATTAAAAAAAAGACAGATGAAGAAGAGTAAGATTATTCAGCTTCGCATCTCTTTCGCACCAACGCAACGAATTTTTGCACGACGAGACACCGACGATTACATAAACGCGTTAATTTTGGGCGTATTCCAAGAATACGGTGGTGGTAGTAATTGACGAGAGGAACAAAGAGAGAGAGAGAGAGTGGAAAAAAAAAGAGTATCGAAAGAATGGAACTGCGGTGTCAATCAAATCCGAGCGGACGCTCGGTGCGGCAGGCGTGACGGGTGACGGGCTGAAAAACCACCCCCGTTTATTATCGATCCATCCGATGTCAGCGCCCCCTCTCGACCCGTGCTCGCAAACGATCGATGCATAACCCCAAAATCATCCCAAGGAAAATCGGCCGCAAAGGCATGCCTATATATCTCTCTCTCTCACCCCTACAATTATTACCTACTGCAATTGGTCATTAAAGAAAATCATGAAAGCAAGCCGCGCGCACGAGTCTAGTAGAACCAATCAACCAGCAACAACTATAAGATAATAATGATAGCAATAGCAGCAACAAATTATTTAAAAAAAAAAGAAAAGAAACAATATAAAACAACCATCAACAACAACAACAAAATGTCGTAAAACAAAGCATGCGTCTAATTCAATCTGGGGGTGGGTGTTGGTAGGGCGACGAAAGAAGGGGTTGAGGATTTTCTTTCTTCTTGTTCCAGAGAGAAAAGCTATAAACGGGCATTCAACGATATCAACGAATCAAAAAAAACAAAAAAAATCATATATAGATATATTGGTGTGTTTGACTGATTTGATTGGGTGGTGTGCGTGTATATTATATATTTTATTATATAATGCAATTCTCGAGACTGGAAGTGGGTTTATCTTACTGTTAAGAGTTTTTGTAAGTCGATGCGGACGCCATTTTTTTTTGTTGTGTGTATGATTGTTTTGAACTGGCCTGAAGTTGGATGCGCACCGACGACGGTGAGACGGTGGTGGCGGCGGCGGCGACCGTCGCGTATCCCGGCGGGATTTTCGAATTTCCCCCACCTGCACCGCACCGCACCTTCTTCTTCTTCTTAACGTCCGAAACTTTTGTCTTCCCTCTTTCGTCCTCACACCACCTCCTCCTCCTCTCCCTATCCTCCTCTTCTCCTTCTCTTCTTCCTTCTCTACACGCACTGACTTTTAATGCCGCCTCCGTTTTGGATAATTCGCGACTTTTTTGCGTCTTCCGATCGGTGGAAGTACGGTGATTACGAAGGAGCTTCGGGAGCGACGCGACTTCCGTCCGACTGACAACATCGGGCGTGACAACATACACGGAATTTCGACAAAAAAATATTTGATGCCCGAACGGAAACCACGCAAAACGAAATAAACAAACAAAAAAACGAGTTTCAACAATCGCGTTGTTAGGGAGATGATGGCGCGACGCATCCCTAATACAGTTCTGCGAATCCTTGCACACACGGATGCGCGCACACCGCAAATTTTGTTGTTTGCATTCTCTCTCCTCTCCTCTCTCCTGTCCTCTCCTCTTCACCTTTTGCTTCTTTTATTTTTCGTTTTTCCCCAATCGATAATTTCCTTCCTGCTCTTCTCTCGACACCCAAAACGACCCAATTCTCACTTCTACCAACTCTAATCAATCAATCAATCGTTTCCATTAATCACACACATTTCAATAACGAACCAAATCAAAATCAAACAAATCTTGAAAGAATTCCCGTTTTCAAACTATTTCGTTATTCCCAACTCTACAAAAATACAATTAATCAAATTTATTTTAGTTACATTTCATACCAAATTTATTTCCTTTCCACCCATTTAAAATTATTATTATAAACAATAGGCAATTTTTAATAAGAAAGATAAGAAACGTATCCTAACAGAAACCAACAAAAACTACTAAAAACTAAACTTTCTTCTTATTTTCGCCGGACTCGTTTTGATGATTCAACAGCAGTCGTCCTTTAAATAGGTATCTAGTCGCCTTAGTTCCTTCACACAAAGACGACTAGATCCTGAAAGACCATTAACCAATTAAAACAAAGGAAATTTTCAAATCCCATTGGAATTCCTTTAAGAAACTGATGGAGAAGACTAATATTAAATAATTGAGTACAGAAAGATGCAAAGAACGCTTAATGGTCTTGCCTATATTTGTGCTCGAGCCAATTATAAAACACTCTGGACTTGATATATAGATTTCGCACATTGATCATCCAAATTATTCCACCTGTATTCATCACTTTCAAGTGCGAATGAACGCGTCCGTAAATAATGTGTACATTTCAAAAGTTAAGTGCAATTTGAGTTGCATAACCGATTCACAATCAAAATAATCGTAACAATCATGGGATTCGATAAAAATTTACACACAAAGAATTAGAAGAAATGTGTGTGTATTTAAGAATTCAGAGGTGGAATTTCCCGAGGTAAATGTATGTTTCTAATAACAAATTGGCACATCCTATTTATTTTTTTTATACACTCCTAATGGATATAAATAGGTACACGTATCTACAAACAGACACACACATAGATGTATGTAAGATGTAGAAGAGATCAAGTTTGATTTTCGCGAATTGGTAAAAAAAAAACGTTGGTAATGAAACAGTTAGAACCATGGGGTGATGGGACGGACGGACGGGGTCTACTACTACTGCTCCTATTTATATTCGACCTTCCGTTAATTTTATCAAACTATAAATTTCGTAGGTTAAAAGCACCGAAAGAGCGTCATTAGAAACAATGATCGTCTCGGAGCCAAACGTCGTGCGTTTCGAATGCGGGAGCCAACACGGAAAATATGACACGAAACGAAGTGCAAATAAAATTAAAAAAATGTTCGTAACATCACATCAATTTTACTATTCGATTGATAGAGACAATGAACTAGAGACTAGTATAGATCGATTTGCCAATTGGCAATTGCTGCAAGTGTAAACAACATTTTTTTGGCAAAAAATTCTACGAAATGTTCTTTGTAAACTGAAAAAAAGCAAAAATTGGTACATAATACGAACGTTTATTTATTGCTTAAGTGCACTTGCGGGCAGTGAGTGATGGTAGCAGACGTTGCGAAACGCCCGTGCCCGTGTCTAATTAGATGGAAATAGTTTTGTATACTTCATATTGTATACATTCGAAATAAGAAGAAGAAATTAAAATTTGGCTCATGAATATTGAGACAATTATAAATTAACAAAAGTTTTGTTGTTGTTGTAAATAAACCAATATGGCGATGAAAATGGCGATCGTTTGTTTGTTTGTTTGTTGACAGCCATCTTGTGATCACCATTAAACTGTCATAATCTCCTGTCAATAATCGATTGAAGTTTCGCGTAAACATTCAAACACGAAACACATGTTAACTCTAGTTATCCGAAAGATTTTTCTTCTCTCATCGCCAGAGATTAATCATGCTTACATGCATGCATGTATGTGTATGTATATCATTCAGAGGTCGCTCCGGTCGTTTCGAATTTCAAACAAAACATTAGTTCTAAATTTAAAAATCCGCCTCCCGTTCCTCTTTTTTTTTTCTCCTGTTGTTTCTTCAAAATTTATGTAACCTTTTGATCAAATCACTCTGTAATACGTTTCTTTTTTGTTTTTGCTTCTTTGTCGTCTTTTCTTGACCATCTGCCAAACCGAACGAGTCTATATGATTTAATAGTTTTAGATTTGTTTTTTATTAGACGCTAACTAAGTTGGACGCGATACTTAATCGCGAGCACGTTGAACTCTAATTTATCCGAATTCGGTCCAATTATCCTATCACAGCGTTTCGTCTACTTATATCTAAATTAACTATTATTAGTAATCCAGTAATTTTTCGGTTTCAAGGCCTTCTTTATTCATTTAATTAAACGAACTTCTTTCAGGTATACCAACTCATTATGGAATTTGATGTAACTAGTTGGTACACCTGAATTATGACTTTCGTCAATGTACAAATCGTCATTTCTCAACCAGGAAATACGCGTGCAATCTGTTCCCAGCATCAGAAGCATCTTCCAATCGTGCTCCAGATAAATCGGAGAATGCAGATAGCAACTCGAAGCACGAGGAAGAAACGAGGCTATCCTAACAATCGGGGCCCCGCGCGCGCTTTGCCAGAAATAAAGTCTGCAGCGAAACTCTTCCAACTCCGTTGCAGTCTTCTCCTTTTTTTTAATTTGTTGTATGATTCATTTGATTCGCTTTACGTCGTCGTCGTCGTCGTTCACCCTGACTCTCTTAACGTCGCCCGTACGCGTACTCGCGCACTCCTCTCTCGTTTCTCTCTAAATTTAGCCGACACTTTGGCTGCTCTGGCTTTTAGCTAACTAGAAGAAAAATAAATGGCAAAAAGTCCGAAACGCAACAAAACAAACACCAAAATAACAAAAAAAAAACAAAACAAGTTGTAAATAAAGCAAGAGTCTCGGGTGCATTTTCGTGAAAAAGTCTCTATTTTAAGATTGCTCCGAAACCAGCAAAAAAAAACCAAGAAGAACGCATTTTTTTCGATGGAATCGTTTCATAATTTACACGTTCTGGATCGTAATCGTGTTAAGAAAATAAACGTTTACGCAAAAACACTTCGGGAAAACCGAAATCAAAAAAAAAACCGAATTAATTTACAAGAAATAGTTAAACGAATGATTATGAAGAGAAAATTTGGTGCTGCAAATAGATATTTTTTTTTTCCGAGAAAAGAGTGTTTGGAAACGTTTCATAACACAAATTTTATTTGAATTCGCTTTAAAATCAGACCACCTTCGCTGCAGTTTACGTAAATTGAAGGTTACATTTTTAAACATGTTCGAATCCACGTACAATTGGTTGTCTAACATTGTACATTATTTGAAAGTTTGCACTTGTCCGACTTTAAAGAAAAAAATAATTAAATTAAACGTGGTTGCGTTGAAATGACAGCTGAAAATAATTTGTTTTTCCCCCTGTGTCGCAATTGTTTTTTTTTTAATTCCCGTATTATTTTTGTTTTTCGTCCATCTTATGTTTTTGTTTTTCCTTTCTTTTGTTTTGTTTTTTGTTTAAATAAGCGACACGCGTCCACACTCCATTTGTTATTGTTGGCTCAATCGAAACACGCTTGATTCATTTTTAGTGGTGCACTTTAAATTCGGGGCATATTTTCCATCACAAATTTAGACAAACGTAAATATCGAGAAGTAAACTTATTTATTTTTTAATTTTCTCAATAATTCCACAGTCGTCACCATAGTTACGTGAATATTGTTTATAGTATTAAAATAAACACTAGATTTCTGTTTCCATAGTAATATAGTGTAATGTACTAAAAAAAAACACAATATATTTTTATATAAATGTTTCGTTTAAAAATACATGGGAAAAAACGCTTGACATCGATTATCATCAAAATACGTTGGTACAAATACCAAAAAAAAATTGAGAATAATCGAGGATTAGGTGGTTTCATGGACGATATTTATAGCTTCAAGGCCTCTGAGATATTTGGTGTATTTATTTATTTGTTCAAACTAAATTTCAAACATTTTTCACATAAAAGAGAGTGTTATTATTAGGCGGAATCCAATGTGCAATTATCTGCAGACATAAAAAA